ACCTAGGCCACTGGAGGCCCAGAGGTCATCAGGCGCGCCCGGATGACCCTAGGGGTCCTCAGGCGGGGCCAAGGTCCTAGAGATCCCCAGGTGGGCTCGAGGGCACCCCAGGCGGGCCCGAAAGGTTTCAAGGGTCCTCAGGCGGGCACTCATGGTCCCAAACGTGCTCACACTCCCTGTGGTCTCCCAACGGCGTCGAGGTCCTGAAAGTCCACAGTGGATCAAAAAGCATTACCACCTGCAAGGTCTTAGCAGCTCCCAAGCGGGCCCTCGCAAGACCACTGTGACCCACCAGAGACACATGGGCCATACTTGCCCTCCTCGCGCCTTTCGCCGCGGTGCTCGAGGCCCCAAGGCCCGTCCCAGACAGCCACTCGGACGGCCGCGGTCTCGGCGCGCCCTGCGATGGTCGATTCGGAGAACGAGGGCGATGACAAGCGCGTGCGCGCGCTGGCCTGCTCAGACGTGGAGCTGATGGTGAAGGATCGGGCCCCATCAGAATCCCCTCGTGTCGGAGTCACCTACCCTACCTTGAGGGATGAAAAAAACGACCCTACCCTGGGTTACAAGTGCGTGGTCTGTAAACCTCCTGGGAGCCCCCAGAGCCTAGAGCCGCCAGGACGCGGCACATCACGAGCCCACAGGAGTTTCAGCGCGCAGCGCCTCGTAAATTATGCCCTTGACTACCCTGCCCTCCCCATGCTCCTCCTCCTCCTCCTCCTCCTCCTCCTCCTCCCTTATCCTTGTTCCTGCCTGTGTTCCCCTCCTCCTCTGCCGCTGCTCCGCCCCTGGTGCCACCCCAGGAGCTCGGCCCGCACATCAAGGAGAGGGACTTTCTCATCTATGCCAACAGGGACGAGAAGGGGGACGCCCTGGGGCAGAACAAGGACACCTTCGTTGCCAGCTCCTCCCTCGCAGCGACCATCAAGCTCAAGATAGCTCCCAACATGTCATTGGGTCGCCAGGCCTTGGACAGCGCCCTCAAGATGATTGCGGCGCAGAAGGGTTGGGATGCGCAGTTGGGCTCAAAAGCACTGAACATGTGGGCTGCAGAGTACACGGCGAGGCTGCGCGTGTTCTGCCGTCATGTCTACAAAGTGCTGGTGAGGCCCAAGTGGCCGCAGTGGTTCGAGGATGAGATGGCGAAGCACGGCATCTCCCGCAGACCCGAGGACAGCCAGGACAGCATGGGCTCGGCTCCGCAGTTCATCTACAAGTACGACGAGCAGAAGGCCAGGGCAATCAGGTACAGGAGCGGGGCTGCACCGAATGAGGACCCCGAGGAGGCCGTGGGCGAACCAGACGGCCCTGACGAGAGGGGCATGATGACGGTCACGTTCGAGGACGGAGAGACGTGGCAGTATTCCTCGATATGGAGACCACCACCAGATGGGAAGAAGGAGAAGATGCCGAAGCACCATGAGTACGAGCTGAAGAACGGTGGCAAAGTCTGGGTATGGATCAAGAACAACAAGCCCAAGGGCAAAGAGAATCAACGGTTGTGCTGCATCATGCGGCAGAGGCCAAGTGGCAAGGTCGAACAGCAGGCCCAGCTCGATTGCGCCAACTTCGGCAACAACGAGACGGAGGCTATCAAGTGGGCAGGCACCGTCGCCGAGAAGTTCATGAAGGGCGAGATTGACAGCACAGATGAAGCGACGGTGCTGAAGCTGGAGAAAGCGAAAAGCCTGGCCAAGGACGGCGATGGCGAGAAGGTGAGGAGGAACGGCAGCGTGATGCTCAAGAAGCCAGCAGCTGCCAAGAAGGCAGCGACAGCAGCGGTGGCTCCCAATCCGCAGGATGCAGCTGACCCTCAGGAGCGCGAGAAGGAGTACGGGAACGAGGATGATGATGATGAGGAGGAGGCTGAGGACGGCGATAAACCTCATGTGGCACAACATCAAGATGCCGCTGGACCCCCTGCAGATGAAGATGGCGATGCAGCTGTCCCTACTCCGCCTCCCAAGCCGAAGAAGCGCATGCAGACCAAGACGGCTGACCTCGACAACGGCTCCCCGATCATCGCCTCGACGGCCCCCCAGAAGCGAGGGACGGATGCCACCGCGGACGGCATGTTGAAGAGGCAGAAGCACCAGATCACGGTCCCAGAAGATGAGATGGAGCTTCGCCCAGGAGATTCGACGTCAAGGCAGTGCGAGCGCGACGACGAGCTCGCGGCGAGGCTCGAGACGTTGCGCAAGGGTGAGTTGCTCCTCAAGGACAGGGCGGAAAAAATGCCTCCCCCACCCCCTCAAGCGTCGTCCACCTCCCCCACCTCCAACGTGAGAAGGAGGAGCAGGAGGACGAGAACGAGGACACCGACGACAAGACGGTGAAGGAGGAGGAGGAGGAGGAGGAGGAGGAGGAGGAGGAGTGGGAGGAGGAGTGGGAGGAGGCGGAAAAGGAGGATGAGGAGAAGGAGAAGATGTATCCTGTCTGCAACGCATTCCTGGGTTGGAGGCATCAGGCGCCACGTCCAGCGGCCTCCCCCTCCTCGCACATCCCCCTCCGCCTCCGCCTCGTCCTCTTCCTCCTCCTCCTCCATCCCCTTTCGAGCCCTCCCCATCCTCGTCCTTGTTATCCTCACCCCTCCCTTCCCCATCCTCCCCTCCACGCTCATCCTCGCCATTCTCTTTATTACTCCGCAGGGTGAGTACAGCGCGGGGCCGCCCACCGCGCTGCTGCCCGACCTGGGAGTGACCTCCATGTTCGGGGACGCGGAGACCGCCCTCCTCCAGGTCAATTCGGATTCTGAGGAGTGATCGACCATGGAGGGGGCAGGAGTGTCGGTTGACGGGGCTCCGACACTCGGGGCAGTTTCGAGTAAAAAGGAAAAGATCGCTAATCACCCCCAGAGGCGCGAAGTGATCGCGCTTCGCCAGTCGCGGCCGCAGCGGTGCGAGGGGCGCGAGGATAGAGGATAGGCGTGACGGAGCGAGGATACACGATGAGAACGGGGGGCCATCCCCCCTCCCTCCTCCTCGATCCCGCTCTCCCCTCTCCCCCTGTCTCCTGCCCATTCCCCGTTCCTTCTCCGCCTCCGCCTTATACTCTTCCTCCCAGTTCCCCCGCCTCCCCTCCCCCTCCTCTCTCACAATAGCAACTTTAGGCTTGCTTCTGCGAGGTGCAGAGAGGTTAGTTGACACCTTGAGATTTGAGATATCAGACCCCGCATGAGCGGCACCATCTCCAAAGCCATGCTGATGGGCCAGCGGAGCGAGTCAGCGCCGATCTCGAGCGGCTGGTTGGACTCCAAGCGCCAGAGAACGGATGCATCGACCGATTACCAGCCCCCCCTCGAGCAGACGCAGCAGGAGTCCCAGCGGATGGATGAGGCAACGCAGTTTGAGATCGACGCCGGGACCACCGCCCCCATGATCCAGGAGCCCGAGGAGACTCAGGAGATCCCCGTCCCCATGACCCAAGTGGGCGAGCCCATCTTCGGGGGCAGGGACGACCGTGGCTTTGCGCCAGACCCGCGTGCAGGTGAGGAATCGCCCGAGGTGGTCGAAATCGTCGAGTCGCCGCCCGTGAACCACACCCCGTCCGCGCACCCGCCCGCGGAGGAGACGCCCGTGCACGTCAGCCCCCAGCCCGTCGAGGTCGAGGGGACGCCGACGCCGCAGGACGCCCAACTGCCCTACAGTGAGACCGTGGGCGGATCCTCGGCAGCAGCTCAGCAGCAGGACGTTGTCCCACAGGCGCAGGTCGCTCCGACGGCGGTGGCGCAGCAAGAAGGCCTGGCCCTGCAAGTGGAAGTTACCCCGCAAGTGGAAGTTGCCCCGCAAGTGGAAGTTGCCCAGCAGGTGGAAGTGGCCCCGCAAGTGGAAATTGCCCAGCAAATTCCTCAAGCCCCTGCGCCCGTCACGGGGAGCCTGCCGCACGCTCCGAGCGACGACAACCCGAACATCATGAAGCTGACAGCTGGCCTGGTCGCGCTCCACACGGAGGAGCAGACGCGGATGGAGGCGGCGGGCGAGGTCGTCCCCCACGACGAGGAGGGCAAGGACAAGGAGTTGGAGAGCGCCTACGCTGCGAGGAGCTGCCCCACGCGCGCTCCCATGAGCCAGCGTTTCGCGCGCATGCTCAAGGGCAGCGAGAAGATGACCAACGAATACAAGGCCTTGCGCTCGCACAAAGCCAAGGAGGACTACCGCATGAAGTGGGTCGAGGATGAGTTCAAGGCCTATCAGGCCCGCAGGGAGCTGACGCGGTCGCTCTACGAAGCCGACGAGGACTGGGGGACCTACGAGCCGTTCGAGAGGATCGCGGGTCTCGAGTCCAGCCACGGCGTGACCACCACGGGCTTGGAAGCGGCGGTCAACATCGCCATCGCTTGCCAGAAGCTAGCGGGCAAGTGGATCCGCTACAATCAGTTCAGCCGCCGCTTAGAATACTTGTATGCATTTGGCTTGCGCCACTCCCGCAACTAAGCCCACATCATCTCTCCCACCTCTCGCGTACCATTCCGTCCCTCCTCCAACTTCCGCCCTCCCTTGCTCGCTCCCGCCTCCTCAACCTCCTCCTCCATCGCCATCGCCAGCACCCGCATCATCAACATCATCATCAACATCATTGGCATCAGCATCGTCAGTATACGCATCACCATCAGCAACGCAATCATCGTCATCACCGCCACTACCACCACCATCACCATCACCAACACCAGCATCACCAACGTCAGCATCATCGTCGTCATCCAGCCCCATCGCCAGCACCAGCACCAACACAATCACCACCATCAGCAACGCCACCATATCGGCAGCATCATCATCAGCATCAGCATCATCAATATCATCATCAGCATCAATATTACCATCAGCATCATCATCAGCATCAACATCATCATCAGCATCATCAGCATCAGCATCATCGACATCATCAGCATCATCATCATCATCATCATCAACCTGTATATACTTAGGCAATGGCACCCGCGCACGCGGGTCGGCGGTTATGAAGTCGGGCTACAAGTCGCGCTTCGAGCAGATCTGGACGCAATGGCAGCAGGAGCATTCGGGCGTGCCCTTGCCCGACATGCAGCGCATCCTCAGCCTTGGCTCCCCGCCCACGGCGATCCCACTGACGGCGGCGCCGTCGCTGCCGAGCACGGGGGCGGCCCCATCGGCTGCTACGCCAGCGGTTGCGGCCTCGCCATCTGCTACGCCAGCGGCTGCGGTCACATCGTCTGCTACGCCAGCGGTTGCGGCCCCACCATCTGCTACGCCAGCGGTTGCGGCACCGTCGTCTGCTACGCCAACGGCTGCGGCACCGTCGAGTGCTACGCCTGTGGCTGCGGTCCCAAAGGTTGAGTTGTCATGCGCGCCATCGGCTACGCCATCGGCTACGCCATTGGCTACGCCATCGACTACGCCGCAGATCTCGCCGCGCTCAGTTGCGCCGACGCCTGCAGCTCGCGAGGGGTCGCAGGTCCAGGGGGAGACGCCAGACCCAGTGCAGAAGCGCAAGGCAGCGAAAGCAGTCTCCGCAGGGGTCCCCGTCGAGCCCTCCGCCAAGAAGAAGGCCAAGACCTCGGATCGCGAGGCGCATGGTGAGCCTGCTGGGAGCACCGCGGATGGGGGCGTGGCGACGGCCAAGGAGAAGAAGAAACTGGAGGCCAAGGAGACGCGGAAGGCTACGTCGGATGCGCAGGCCCAGGTCTCGCTCTTCAGCCAGGTCGTCATGAACGCTGACATGCTGGAGTTCACGATCGGGACAGACCCTGCGTGGGAGTGGGCGAAGGAGCACAAGAAGTTCGTGGCGATGAAGAACGCGAGGGCCCAGCTCAAGGCCAAGGCGGGCCCTGGCACTTTGGCTGAAGGAGCTCCTCACCACGAAGATGCAGGACGTGAAGACCAAGTACGGCGATGCCTACTTCACCGAGCAGATCCAGAAGATCCCCTCCATCATCAGTGGCCCCATCGCCAAGCTGCAGGACTGCCTCGACAAGCTGAACAACATCCACGCGTTGAACGCCAGCGATGACGATCAGGAGTAGCAGATCTCGGAGGATTGGGTTCCAACACATCTCCAGGCACCAGCGGAAGATAATCAAGGGACCAGTGCAACAGCATCTAAAGCACGGGGGGCAATCATCTGGGTAGATGTTTGCATTCTAGCAGCGTAACGTTTGAAATCCGACGTGCTTGAGCCTACCCCGCCCCTGCCTCATCCAACAAGTCCAACTCATCCCTCCACCAGCTCCTCGGCCTCCTCTACTTGAACCTCATCCTCCACCGCCTCCTCCACCACCTTCCCCATCCCCTGCGGCTCTGGCAACGTCGGGGGGCTCCTTGGGGTGGCTGCTCAGGCGGCCGCGTTGCACGCTAGCTTCTAACTTGCTGTCACGGTGCGACTTCCACGCCCGAGGTGCTCGTAAGACAATACACGATGTTGCTGAGAGGGGGCTCTGGAACAAATCAGCCGCGCTTCATCCGTGCAGAGGCCCGACCAGGAAGGGGCAGGGAGGGAAAAAGGAGTTGCGGGGTGAGCTGGGAGGGAAAAGAGGAGGGCAGGCAAGGATCGGGAGAGGGGGGGAGGCGAAACGGAGGGCCCACGTTCCCGAGCAGCTCGGTTCGGACACGGATCGGAGCGCTCCGAGCTCGGATCGGACGGGGTCGGGGCGAAACGGAGGGCCCCAAAACCCGAGCAGCTCGGTTCGGACACGGATCGGAGCGCTCCGAGCTCGGATCGGACGGGGTCGGAGCGATCCAGATTCGGATCGGACGGGGCCAGGGGTGCGATGAAATTCCGATGTTATTCCGATGATTTTGCGATGAAGGCGATGAAATTTATCACGAAACCTGTAAAAAAGCACTATAAACTGACCGATGTTATTCCGATGCTATTCCGATGTTTTTGCGATGAAGCCGATGTTTCTTGGACCGCTCGGAACCGTCTCCGTCAGAGGCGAGTTCGGGCCAGAATTTTCGGCACCGTCGCCGTCAGAGGCGAGCTCGGGCCAGAATTTTTTGTGGCCGTGCCTCCTCCGACCGTCCCTGCCTTCTCCCCGTCGGCCTCGGGGGCTTCCCCGGTGGCTCCCCAGTGGCTTCGGGGGCTTCCCTGGTGGCCTTCTTCTGCCCTCAACTCTCCTCCTCCTTCTCCCCTGCCCTCCGTGATCCGCAGCTGGTTCCACTCCAAGGCTTTCGGAGTGGCGGGCCCCGCTAGAGAGCTGGGCCATGGCGCGGCGAGTCCAGAGGAAACCCGCGGGCAAGGCCCCACCCAAGAAGAAGCCCTCCACGGTCCAGAAGAGGCCTGCGAGCGTTCCCAAACCCGACAGAGATCTCACGGCCGCGAACAAGGGCCACCAGAAGGTCACGCGGTACGCCTACTCCAAGTACGTACGAGAGCCCCCGCCAGACTACCTTCGAGAGCATGCAGCACCTGCTGGGGTGCCAGATGAATTCAGGAACGCCGTCCACTCCAAGGCTCCCTCCTCCTCCTCCTTCTCCTCCTCCTCCTCCTTCCTCCTCCTCCTCCTCCTCCTCCTCCTCCTTCACCTCCTCCTCCTCCTCCTCCTCCTCCTCCTCCTCCACCTCCTCCTCCTCCTCCTTCACCTCCTCCTCCTCCTCCTCCACCTCCTCTTCTTCCTCCTCCTCCTCCTCCTCCTCCTCCCCCTGCCCCTCCTCCTCCTCCTCCTCCTGCCCCTCCTCCTCCTGCTACTCCCCGTCCTCCTGCTACTCCCCGTCCTCCTGCTCCTCGCCTCGAACCTGCAGCGGCCTGACTCAAAGATCATCGCTCTACTGCAATACAGTCCTATTTCTCTCTTTCCCTCTCTTTCAAGTTCGCCCATGCTCTCCTACTCCTTGCCCCTCCTGCTGCTCCTTGCCATCCTACTCCCCCTCCCCCTCTCCATCCCCTTAGTGCTGCATATCATCATTCAGGATACAAAAACTCATTAGCCCTACTTACTGAGGTCCCCGTACTCGTATTAGGGCTGATATTTCTGGGCGGTTTGGTTCGATGCACCTGCAAAGCAGGCCCCGTATCCCTACTGCGCCTGGCCCTCCTAACTTAGGTCCCCTCCCAAAGGGCCACCTGGGGCTCCCAACACCTGGTCCTTTTCTGGCCTTCCTAACGTAGGTCCCCTTCTGATGATCTTGGCCCTCCCAACTTAGGTCCCCTCCCAGAGGGCCACCTGGGGCTCCCAGCACCTCTCCTCCACAGCTGTTTCCAGCATGGCTTATGTTGAAGATCCCTGGTCCGAAGCTGCAATCGCGAGAGAGCGGGCTCGCGCTCATGCTGCCCAGGAGCTGGGCAGATGTTTGGTCGACATGTATGCTGGGAGCAAAACTATGACAGCTAACCACCTTTGCAAAATTGCCTGGCTTGCGACCAGGGCAGGGGCACATAGTGATTTCCTCGGGGTGCTGAAAAAAGATCCGAAGTCATCTAGTGGGGCGTTCGCTCACCATTTGCGTCAGGTCTTGCCCATGCCCGACCCCGCTTCGCATTACAGACTCGAGGTGCCAATTCATGAGAGGAGCGGCAAACGAGGCATTAAGACGATCCCTGTGATGCCAGTTTTCGACGCGATCGAAAAAGAGTTGACAGAAGATCCATCCCTGGCTCCAGAAGCAATTGTTGCGAATGGTGAGTATATGGAATGGTACAAGCTATATGCATCAGGCTTCGCCTCAACGCCTGACCCCATCGGCAACTCAGATGCCTGAAGGCGTTGGGGGGCACAAGAACTTCCTTGTTTTGTTCAACGTCTTTGGAACGACGTGAACACGATCTGGAAAACGGAAACTTTCCTCGACGGGGGGGCCCAAACGAACCCGCGCAACCAGACGCGCCCCGACCAGGAGGAGGGGGAGGATGACGAGGAGGAGGGAACAGAGGAGAGGGGACAGAGGCAGTGGAGACATCAGAACACATGGAGCAGCGCACAAGCCAACCTGCAATATGCGAGCCGTCCATCCTGAGCCCAGGATCAGCGCATGCGCCTTCCTGCCTTGGCCAGGAAGGCATATGCACCGATCCTGGGCCAAGGTTGGACCTGGCCAGGATTGGTGCATGTGCATAGTTCTCTTCGCCCGAGGCTTCGGGCTTCGGGCTTCGGGGTGCGCGCGGGAAGGGATGGCACCCGAAAAACAAAGTGCATTCCACTCTCCTGGGGCCTGTTACGGTCGGCGGTTTCGTGGCATCCAGCTCTGGCCAAACGCCCAGGGGAAATCGTGCCACCCCTGATGTTGGCACTCTATGTAGACGGGATCCGCTTCACGAGAAGCGATCGCACTGGAAAGGCTGACAGTCTCACGGGTTTTTTCGTGCACACGCTGCACTCTGGCAAACGACACCCCATAGTGGTGTTGAAAAAGTCAGAATTGTGCCGCTGTGGCTGCCGTGGCTGGTGCACCGTATCCCATGTGCCTGCGCGGCATGTCCGAATGACCCAACACGAAAGGAGAGTAGTATTCATAATGTGTAATAGTAGAGGAGGGAGATGAGGCAGGAAGAGGCGGAGGGCGGCTTGCACATCGCCTCTTCCCCTCCGCTGCCCACTACCCCTGCTCTGCGCAACCTCCTGCTCCTTCCACGCGCAGCTACTCCCGCTGCGAAGCTTTAATCTACCCGAGGCCGCGGGGGGGTCTACCCGGTAAGCCGTGGTCGCGGATTCCCGATCATGATGTTTTTACGGTGGTGTTTTCGAGCGTGCTTGAATGGCGCGCGGCCTGAAGCTAGACACGATGGAACGCCATTCCTCCTGGGGGACAGATGGGGGGAACGAGCTGGGCAGCCGCTCCGCAGATCGGCACTAGTATGGTTAAAAGGTGATTTGATAGAACAAGCTGTGACGTACGGCCTCAGGGGCCTTGCTTCTGCGTTTCACCCGTGTTTTTGTTGCCAGTCCTTGGGGGAGAATTTGCACGATTACGAGTCAGTCTCCCTGGGCGACGACCTGTGGGGCGATGTCGAGGACGGGGACTACGAGCGAGCATGCCAGAAATGCGAGATGTCGGTCCTGATAGACTCAGAGGAAACCAAAATGAAGGACACACACGGGATAAACTTACCGACGTAACCCCATCCTTTCTCACTCCTCCATGGTCTCGCTTCCTCAGCCTCTCCGAGCTTCAGCCATCCTCGCCCCCCCCCCTCCTCCTCTCCTTCGCTCCTTGCCCTTCTCACCTCGTTGTGTCGGAGGTCCCCAGTCGCGTCTGGCGTCAGGCCGCGCTCCGAAGTAATTAACTCTCACAGGTGATTGGAGAGGGGCAGCTATACTGGGACTCGCGCAAGGGAGGAGTCCGGGGACGCACGCTCGCAGCAGACGTACCATCCTTAGGCCTGCAAGCTGGTGACCGTTTAGAGCCATCAGAACACGTTTGCGACGTCGGGAGCTTTGCGCAAATCGCCCCGCCGTTCATTGCCAGATTCTGGAGGGCACACATATTCGGGACCCAGTGCACCGACGCTCTCAATCACAGAAACCCACTGTTTGATGAAGCCCTGTTTATCTCGCCTTCGCGCTCGTTCGTACTCGACGTGCTCCACATCTTATACCTAGGCGTTCATGCTAGATTAATTGCTGGTGCCATCTGGGAAATATTGCGAGGCAATCCTTGGGGTATCAGGGGCCCTCCAGACGTCGTGCTAGAGATTGGCCTGCGATATTTGAAACAAGAATTATTCCAATGGTATGATCATAATGGCATCGATACGGGGGATCGCCTCACGGACCTCACAAAGGGCATGATCGGAAAAGTACCCAGGGCGATTGAAATATCTCCCCTCCGTGACCCAGGGTTCGGGAGCATTTGCCCACCTCGCTCGGACGGGGGGGGAGAGAGGAGGGATGACAGGCGGGAGGAGGAGGAACTCGGTAATGAAAAGGAGGAGGGGGAGGAGGAGGAGGAGGAGGAGGAGGAGGAGGAGGAGGAGGAGGAGGAGGAGCAGGAGGAGGAGGAGGAGGAGGCGAGGTTGCTAAATAAATGCCCGAACCCTCGGGCTCTGGATGCTAGATAGTTGCAACCCGTGGCAGGAGGACTTCCCGAA